GTCCCCGAGTTACGCGGATCCAACTTATGTCGGATCCGCAGTTACGAACGGGGATTTTCTCGCCCCGGAGGACAGGAGCGGCGGGACGCCTGGTCCCGCCGCCCCCGTCCTCCGGGGCGAGAAAAGCTGCTCCCCGTCTCCCTGGTCTGCTGGGGGGGGGACGCAGCTAGTGCGCCCCCCCCCTTCCCAGCAGACCAGGGAGACACGGAGCAAAGCCCCGGGCCTGTGGTAGAGCAGGTGGGGCGCTGCCGGTTGGTCCAGTAGCACCGAGGAGCGGCGGCGCTACTGGAGCACCCCAGCAGCACCCCAGCTGCTCTGCCCCAGGCGTCCCCAAGTCAGCTGCTGCTGAAACTGACCAGCGCTGACTACAGGAAGCCTCTGCCCCGGGTTTCCTGGAATCAGCCGCAGCTTTTCTCGCCCCGGAGGACAGGAGCGGCGGGACGCCTGGTCCCGCCGCCCCCGTCCTCCGGGGCGAGAAAAGCTGCTCCCCGTCTCCCTGGTCTGCTGGGGGGGGGACGCAGCTAGTGCGCCCCCCCCCTTCCCAGCAGACCAGGGAGACACGGAGCAAAGCCCCGGGCCTGTGGTAGAGCAGGTGGGGCGCTGCCGGTTGGTCCAGTAGCACCGAGGAGCGGCGGCGCTACTGGAGCACCCCAGCAGCACCCCAGCTGCTCTGCCCCAGGCGTCCCCAAGTCAGCTGCTGCTGAAACTGACCAGCGCTGACTACAGGAAGCCTCTGCCCCGGGTTTCCTGGAATCAGCCGCAGCTTTTCTCGCCCCGGAGGACAGGAGCGGCGGGACGCCTGGTCCCGCCGCCCCCGTCCTCCGGGGCGAGAAAATCCCCGTTCGTAACTGCGGATCCGACATAAGTTGGATCCGCGTAACTCGGGGACTGCCTGTATCTTGAAAGTGTTAATTAAAAATGTAGATTTTTTTCATAACTGCATTAAAAAACAGAACTATATAAAAAGTTTAGAGCTTACATGCCCACTCATTCAGGCCTACTTCTTATTCAGCCAATCACTAAGAACAATAAACGTATTTACATTTATGGGAGACAAGGGGGCTGCACCCCTTGTTCACTACACTTGCCAGTCCCCCTCTCTCTGGGGATAGGTGTCTGGCTGGGGGAGGGGGCAGGAGCAGGCTAGGGCTTGGTGTCTAGCCAAGTGGAAGGGCAGAAGAAGGCTAGGGGTATGGGCTCTTGGCGGAAGGGGTGAGAGGGCTGGGAGTGGGTCAGGCTCAGATGGCAGAAGGGACCCAGAGCAGCCCAGGCTCCAATGGTGGAGGGGAACTGGCACAGCCTGAGGCGATGGCTTGGATGGTGGAGGGGATCCAGCCCCAGCAGCTCCTCCCCAGGAGCACAGGCCCCTCCCCCCCCGGAGTGTGAAGCGGGAGCCGGAGATGCCCATTCCCAGAAGGGAGGGCACTGAGACTGACCACAGCAAGTGGCTGAGGACAGAGGCAGAGACTTGTGGACACTGATGATGTCATTCTGTTGTCTCACTGGAAAAATTTTACGCACGCACGCAGAGACTGTAAATAATTGGGTAGCATTTTCTCTCTCACCTGAAAGTGAGAACAGGCATTCTTAATGGCATTTTTGAGGCTGGCATTGCAAGGAAGTTACATGCTGGATATACCAGACATTCATATGCCTCTTCATGCTTTGACTTCCATTCCAGAGCATGTCTCCATGCTGATAATGCTCATAACAAAAATCATTAATTAAATTTCTTACTGGACTCCTTGGGGGAGAACTGTATATTTCCTGCTGTTTTACCCACATTCAGCCATATATTTCATGTTATGGCAGTCTTGGATGATGACCCAGTAAATGTTGCTCATTTGAAGAACACTTTCACTGCAGATTTGACAAAATGTAAACAAGGTGCCAGCCAACGTGGCAATGTGAGATTTCTACAGCACGCAACCTAAGGTTTAAGAATGTGAAGTGCCCCCATAAACTGATAGGAACAAAGTGTGCAACATGCTGTCAGAAGTCTTAAAACAGCGACATTCTGATGTAGAAAGTAGAGATCCCAAAATACCAAAAAGGAAAATCAACCTTCTGCTGGTGATATCTGATACAGATGATGAAAATGAACATGTGTCGGTCTGCATTACTTTGAATCATTATCTAGCAGATATCATCAGAAACAGGAAGGCATGTCCTTTGGAATAAAAGGAACATACGAATCTTTAGAATATCTGGCACATAAATAAACTTGCAATGCCGGCTATACCAGTGCTATACAAACGCCTCTTCTCACTTTCACATGACATTGTAAAAAAACAAGTGGGCAGTATTATCTCCTGCAAATGTAACCAAACTTGTTTGTCTAAGTGATTGGCAGTACAAAAAGTAGGACTGAGTGGACTTCCTAGGTGTAAATTTTTACATTGTTTTATTTTTAAATGCAGCTTTTAAAAAATATTTAAATACATGGTTTTCTATTATTGTTAAACAGCATGATTAATTGTGATGAATTTTTTAAATGCTTTACAGTCCTAGTTACTTTTCCTTTTTGGAACAGTCTCATATTTTATCTTTAACAGATGTGATAATGTACATTGTAAAGCAATTATATATCTAACTGTATTTTCAAAAGAATGACACATTTTAAAATTGGATTAACTAAGGGAGATTCCAGATCAATGCAAAATTAAATTTGATTTATTCTAACAATATTTTTTAAATCTTTAATTATTTTTTCAAAACTTTTAATTTTTTCAGTACAGGCAGTCCCCGAGTTACACGGATCCGAATTATGTCGGATCCGCAGTTACGAACGGGGTTTTTTTCGCCCCGGAAGACGGGAGCTGTGGGACGCCCAGATGCGCCCCGGTCTCGCCGCCCGCGTCCTCCGGGGCGAGAAAAGCTGCTCCGCATCTCCCTGGTCTGCTGGGGGGGGAATCCCCCCCAGCAGACCAGGGAGACGCTGAGCAAAGCCTCAGAGGATGCCGGCAGCGGGACAGCTGCGGCGCGTCTGAGCTGTCCCGCTGCCCGCGTGCTCCGCG